GACACCGTCAACAGAAAACGCTATGAGAATTTATAAAATGATCATTAATGGGAAAACGCTTTGAATTTTTTAAACTCGAATTCCCTCAACTGATCCTTTAAGGAAATGTATGGATATCGGTATGGAGAATTTGTATGTGGATACTGGGGCACGAAGGGTTGAGGAAACTTCTGGTAGGCGAGGTTCCGCAAAACCCCCTCAAGTGCTACTTGCGAAGGATTTACCATCAACATGCACTTTGCGCGATGTACATTTCGGGGGCGGATCCAGGGAATTTTGTGGCAAATTCTCACAGAGACAACCACATGTTCTCAATCTGTGAACGCCGGTTGTCGTCATTGGCGCGGGAAATACCGACTGCTATGCGAGCAGAGGTTATCATAGGGTACCCAAAAATAATTACAATTTTTAATATCCCTGGAATTTAGTTTAGTGATAAAATACAACGCGCGTTTCATTAAAAAGATCAGCCAGTTATTGTAAAAAGCGATATACGATCCTATCGATGTAAGAATTTTAGTCTCAAACAAGCGTCAGGTATGATGGGGGGTCCGGACCCTCCCCCTGGATCCACCACTGCGTTCTGTAATTGTATAGGTTCTGCTGCTTAATTATTTCTAATAGTGAATCGAACGTCCTCGTTTCCTTATTTTTATGTGCGGGGTACACATAAAAAGGCAGAGAAAAAAAGAAGAAAGTGATCTTTAATATTTACCTCTTTTACTTTTCTGTAGTAGTTATCGAAGAAAGTTAATGCGTTCGTGTTTTCTTAGCTTTAAGGTAAAGGTCATGAAAACCTTTTCTGCATATTTGACCTTGAATATTTTGAAAAGAAATGAGAGGTAGACCTCAGAAAGCGTCATTTGGTAAAAAGCTCAACATTAATCACTACAAAGTCGAACAAGAAAATGCCAGTGAGCCATTTTAAGCACGATCTTCCAAGCCCGGGGGTTGGACTCCCCATAATGGCCTACGGGAGGTGGTACCTTTTTCAGGCTTCAGATATACAGAAATGTAAGTACATGAAAGGGAAGGGAAATCTGTCATTTCGGTCGGTAAGAACATCCTTAACTAAAGGGCTAACAGATACATTTTATGGTTCAATTGATTGAAGATTTTAGTTTACACTAGGGAAAACGGGAATTGCCACTCGAAAATTAAATAACCTGACCTTAGTAGTTTCTGTAAAACAGCTACTCTAAGATAGGGGAATTTGGGAAGTTTAGTCTAGTATAGGGTAGTAAAATTCAGCTGAACTAATTCGGGTATAGGCTAAGGGTTCCAGGGTCCAAGCGGCACATCCCCACCCAAAAATTCCTTAAGTACTCCCAGTCTTTAAATTGTACTCCATTACAGTATGTTTCGGATTGTGTCTCAATCTAATTGACCGTTCTGGCTTCCCGATGAACAAAGGCGCCAACTTGAGTCTTGGGTTGACAAATAATTTGTAAGCATTGTTTACCCAGGCCTCGAACGCGTTCCCTGCTCACTACAAAAGTGACACAAGTACAACGATTTAATCATTTCATTTTTTCCTCATACAAAAAGAGTTACAAACGTGTCCTTTAGTTCACTTTAACGCATTACTCTTTTTTTAAATGTGTAAAAGCACTTTTTTCAGTTTTGACATGGGCTCCTGGTTTTGATCAGTCGGTACCGCAATAGCGCATTGAACAGTTCTTTACACCGTCCGTGCCATCAAGGAAATAGATGTAGTAGCTTCCGCAGTTTCGAACTCTTATGGTTGTGCTCCAATAGCAGCAATAGTCCCATCGGAAACAGACTGTGCGGCTTACCACGCCCTCCGCCACTGTTGGGTGACCACTAGTCATCCAGCCTGTTGCATCAGTATTACATCTCCAAGCGGGCGTACATGAAGTTGCTATTCTCGTCCCTGCTGCCCCTTCAAATCTGAACCAGCCGGGGCCTATTTTTTCGTCACATTTGAGCCCGTAAGTACGGCTGTACTTCACGTTTCTGTCGGATTCGTTTAGACTTTGGTAATTTTGGCACTCTGAAAAGTGGAGCGTAAGAATATAAGATTAAATTGTCGTGTAACAAATGTATTAATAAATTTATTAGATCTGATCAGTTAAGGACACCCCCCTAATTTCTCCAATTGTACATCTTATAAAGTTTAATTCGTTATTATTATTATTATTATTATTATTATTATTATTATTATTGCTCTTATTGTTATTATCATTATTTTATCATTGTCTTTATTACTATTATTATAACCATTATTGTTACAATTTTTGGCAGAGATATCAATGCCAGAGCTCCACAAAGCATCCTTTTAGTAGCTGTTAATTACCGAGCTCGTCGAAGAAAGATTGCTCTCAGGGACTTTTGAAATAATTTCTAGGCTTGCGATGTATGCCAGATACTTACCCGGTGCCACAGGATGCGAGCATGTTTTTCCATTTCCTGTGGAGGGATGATTACAGGAACAACTGTAAGACCCATCGGTATTTCTACATGAGGCGAAACGGTGACAATCGTGTACTCCGCTTGCGCACTCGTCGATATCTGAGGGAATGAAAAGAACGGTTGCATTTCGATACTTTTAAAAGGCGAAAGCAAAATAGTAAAAAATAAAATAAAAATGACCAATGACAATTGGCTGCTATCCGTTGGCATCTACGCGAAAGGAGCCTCATCGCCATTGTTATCAATCAAATTGCTTTACGGTAAAAACATGAGGAAATCTTAAGATATGATAATCGTTATCTCCGCCATAGCAACCACAACCTCCGCACTTCCTCCACCATCATTGCTATCATCAAGTTCACGCCTTCGTCAGAGATATGCAAGGGGCAACTCTTGAAGTTTCATTTAAATTTTCGTCAACCCTTTGGCGATCTTTTGCCAGATTCGCCATTTTCGTCAAAATTGCCACAGCAATTACAACCTCCACTTCCACCACCATCACCGCTATCATCACCATCATCACGGCCTTCGTCAGAGAGCCTCATTTAAATTTCCGTCAACCCTTCGGTGATTTTTATACCTGACTCGCCATTGCTGGCAGTTTTTGACCGGATTCGCTATTTTGGTCAAAAATCACCACTCTCAAGGATCCCTTTTGGCCATCTGAATATTCGCCGTGCTCATAGCAATTTTTTCATCATCATCATCATCATCATCATTATCATCATCTTTCAACAAGAAGGCAATTAAGAAAACACCAAATCACTCACCACTACAAATCTTCCCATCCCCTGTATATCCTGCCTTACAACTGCAGGTGTAAGAACCCTCTGTGTTCTGGCAAACGGCATTGTTGTCACAGATATGGTAATTAGAAGTACACTCGTCCATGAAAAGCGGGCAGCCGTTTCGATTAATAGAATCATGAACCACAGATTGGGAAACCGTAACAGAAATTTCATGCTCGTTTGTAGCCTTATTACTTTTTTAGTGTTAATGCCATTTTTAGTGGGAAAACCGATTAATCCTCATAATATTTTGTAGCTTCAAATTATAGTAATAAAACCCTTCCAGAGTGTGCGACGCCCATTCCAAAAACTTTTGGACGGAATTATTCTGCCTACAATGGTATCCATTGAAGCTAAGGTTTAAGTAAGAAATTTGTTGAGATCATGTCAAACTCCTTTCAATATGTTATTAAGGTAGCAATATAATATCTGCACTGTATTATTACCTTTAAAACATGTGAAGTTGTTGCAGTTATCACACGGTACATCATTCCATGTATAGCCATGCTTTGCTCCTAGGGTGTGCACGCAGTTTTCTTTTTTCCAATTGTTTGGTTGTCCTGCAGCCCAGAACCTAAAACTGCTTACTTCTTTGTTCGTCCAAACGAAGGAGCCCTCCACACTTCGGTCGTTAAGCCCAATCCAGGATCTCCCTCCATCAATGCGATGCTGGATGAAGACGTTTTCTTCTTGATTATGGACTGTTACAAAATTTGCACCCATTGCAGTGCAGTTTGATTCAGCGTTTAGCCATGAGGTGCATTGGCGACTTGTAAAGTAGCAAAAACCGTCAAAGTAATTCCATTCTGGTGGACAAATATCTATAATGTAAAAAGCAATGAAAGTATAAGTAATCAACAAACGAGAAGCCGTTGGCTGGGTCTTAACGCTTTAAGCCCTAAGAGTAATCAGCATCAAATTTCTCCTTGTAATATCAATGCTTTGTAAAAAAGAGTGGACATGAGAATTACGGGCATGATCACAAGATAAATTTTCGTGATATTTTATCAATTTCTCCCCTCTAGTTCTGTAGGAAATGAATAACGTCAACAAATGAGATTTCAAATTCTAATCTTAGGGTTTAAAGGGTTAAGCATTTGGCGGGATTATTCACACTTAATTGTGCCTGCGAAGAACCTAGGAGATAGACCCGGTTTGCATTAAATGCTACGCTGATTTACTCACCTTCGGATCCGACAACAGACAACTTTATTTGGATGGATAAAACATACAATTGCTTTACTGCTGACAATGATATTTTTAAAGTCCCCTGAAACGTTTGACGATCGACTCTGTCATCCGGTTTTGGTACTGTCATGGCCCGCGGTGCCGATGACGATGATAACTATGATGATAATCTTGTTTATGATGGTGATAATGGTGATGGCCATGATCATGTTCATTGCCATGGATATCGTGATCATATGATAGTGGTTAAAGTAAAAATGCTTGTAACTACTAACCTGACATGATGGTGTATGATATAGATAGAGGGTCATACTTTGACACAAACAATTCCTTGAAACACGCTCGAGCTCCGGTCGTGTTGATGTACTGCAAAGCAATACACAAGATTTTGTCATGTAGGAAATGTCACAAAATTCAGCCGCTAGGACCTGGCCACCAGAAAAAGTAAACATTGCTCATTCTTGACCTCGGTAGTTAAACTTGTCAGATTTCTCAGATTTTTAGTCTTGTAGCTTTCGACTCCGTATTTCACAGTCTTCATCACCAATAAAATAGCTATGCAAATTTACCGGAACAAAAGAACGTTTTTACAAAACAAAAAGGTCCAACTTTTGGAACACCAATATGGCCGCCGTTTTATTGTTTTGGTACACTAGACCAATATGGCGGACGTGACGTCATTTCAAAACACTCCATTTGTAAATTCAAACATAACGCTTGGTAAACATATTTCTTTGTACTGACACTGTGACTTTGTAATTTACAAGTAATAATTATTTCGCTAAGTCAAATTACTTAGCGAGTAAGGGCCATGAGCGGTGATCTTTTTTTCTTTTTCTTTTCTTTTCTATTTTCTTTCTTTCACACAGATCAATTCCTTCAGTGATTTTTGCCTTTTTTCTTGCCATTTTCGTCCAAAAAATCGGCTGACTTTTGCATGACTTTTTAAAAATAGAAACTGAATTGATTTAATGGTAAACTAAAGGTTTTATTAATGACATCAAAAGAATTGGATTGACCTACCTCTACCCAAGCGGTAATGGAATTGTGCATAGGGTCTACATTGCCACCTTTTGAGGTGTGATTTGCAGATACAAATATACTTGGAGCCTTCCTATACATCTTTTTGAATTGGAGATCCTGTCAACCATAGCATAAGACACTTTTTCGTTATACCGTAAAAGGTAATGGAGTCAAAGAGGAGGGCTTCAATGGGGTTAACCGTCAACAGTCAAACACCCTAAAATTTAACTTTCAACCGTCAAAAAAGGGTTATTTTTACCGTCAACCGTCAAAAATACAGGTTAAAGCTACCACCCTCAAAGAAAACAACAAAGAAAGAAAAAAAAACACTGACCTTGCAAAAGGCGTTATTGTGATCAGCCGGTGGGTGCTGAGTGTTCGCAAAATAAACTGAACTGTGTTCTGAGAAAAAGGGCGAATGAAAAGACAACAACGCCAGCCATTTCTAGTAAACAAAATAAGAGAATAATTACTAATATATTTAAATAAGTGATACTCTTTTACTGGGAGCTATATGTTTCATGTCCTGTATAACCAATGCGGCCAATTGCCCACTCCACGTTCACGCCCGGCTTTTATGCTTAAAAGCTGCAGCGAATATCAACTTATTCTGAATAAATACTGACCAATAACATGAAATTGTATTTTCCAGTTAGATAATGCCCTTCAAATCTTATTAGCTCTTCATATTGATATATGTATATTACTCAAAGAAGTCATAGTAAAGAGACTTTCTGAAATGTTATGGGGGTTGCGATAACCCGGAGCAAAGTTATAGGATGGTGAATAATTTTGACTATTAATGAATTGCAAGCCAAACATTCAACGGAATCTATGTCTTAATTTAAGCTTACAAAGCCAAGAAAAAAACGCGTTGATATGAAACCAGAGGAAAACCTTCTCTGTGTTAAAACGCACTACCAGATGGATGTAAATGAAAAAGCTTTCAGTCTTCTGATGATTATGATAATGACGATCATGACGATGGTGACGATGACGATCATGATGATAGAATTTTTCTAAGGCAGTACGCGCACAAAAGAATGATCTCTCAAGCGAGCGAAAACAGTAACTGCTTCCGCCCTTGCGCTGTCCCTTTCAACCCATTTAGTGCCTGTTTTTCAACCCTTAACCGCTTCGGCTCAGTTTAATGTAAGTTACGACCGTAAGATTGCAGTAGATAGTCAGCAACGGATGCAACACTCACGACAAAGATGTCTTCATGAGATCCTGCGTAGTTCTCCAATTCCCTTAAACAAATTTTAAAGGAAGAATGTGTGATGTCCTCCAACCAAACGCTCGCAGCGTCCCGCTTCAGTCCAGCATGATGATGTGCAGCGGTAACAAAAACGAATGGTTGCTGTGAGAATTTACCCTGTAGAAATTTGGATAAAATTGGATGATCAGCAAGAAAAAGCCGAGATACATACAAAACGAGTATCAATCACTAATGATTAACACCCCATTCGACTGAAATGTGGGTATTTTAATCCCCAATTTATAAGAACCACCTGAGACTACTGAATATTGTGTGTAGCATGTTATTTTTTTAATAATTAGGGGAAAACGAGGTTAAAAAAAATGCTTGTCTCAACTCCGCAGTCTCACTACACATAAGCTCTTTTTTTATCTAAATAGAAAATAGCAATTATAAAAAATATTGCTTAAGAAAAAATGGATCATTATATTTTTCGTGATGCTTAAAGCGCAATTGCCCTTGTGTACGTTGACGTCAAACGAAAAACGTTCGCCACCAAGAGTCTCTGAAATTGCGGGAGTTGTAGTCTTAGCTTTTCTTATGTAAACGCTTTCTCTTGTTGTATTAAATTTGCATCAATACTAAGCAAGTAAGTAAGTAAGTAAGTAAAGCCTTTATTTAAAGAGGGTAGCACCTAATAGCCAAAGGCTAATAAACTTGTGGCCCTCATAAAATACACAACTATTTACAATCTAATAGATATTGTAAGCTAAAATATATAAACATTTAAAATAAAACAAGATTCGATTTTTATATATAAAAAATATATATATATATTAAATGATAAAATGATGCAAACATTGTTGTTCCTTAAAAATCTTTGCAAACATGTTCTTTTTAAAACATGCTACAGAATCTAGTTTCCTAATTTTAATTGGTGTACTATTCCACAGTCTTGTTGCCGAAACAGCGAAAGAGCGTCCTCCCTCTGTTTCTCTTCTATATTTAGGACAAACAGCATTAATGCTTGAATATCTAGTGTTGCGGGAGTGCCGCTTATTATTCAAAATTAAGTGTTCATTTGGATAATTCGGCAAATACCCATTAATTCGCTTGTACATTATTATGCATTTATCTATCTTGTGTTGCTCATAAAACGGAATCCAACCTAGCTTGTTAAACAAAGCAACTGATGGTGTCATGCGACCGGCATAAGAAATAACGCGTGCCGCACGTTTTTGCAATCTTAAGACCCTATAAACCGACTCTTTATCGCAATTTGCCCAAACAACGTTAGCGTAAGACATAACAGGGCGAATAATGCTATTATAAAACTGAAGTCGCTGTTTAAGAGGTACACAGGCTCGAATCTTACGCAGTATTGCGATTCTAGAGGCCAACTTTTTACATACTTTCTCAATATGTTCATTAAATGACAATTTGCTGTCAATTTCTACGCCTAATAAGGTAGCACAATCCACATTACTGAGCTGTTTTCCGTTTACTAGCCGCTTGAGTGGGAATGCTCTATAGTCTTTAAAGTCTCTTTAGTCTATTGTTGGTTTTCACATAATGACGTCACTAAAATTCAAACTACAAAACTATCGATCCCACCGAGATTTTACTTTCATGATGTATTAGAGCTGTTGAAAACTAATTTTCATACAAATTTTTGCTTCAAAAGGGTTCTTAGTTTTGTGATAGAGCACGCTTGAATTTCTAAGCTTTTGCGTGACGCGGCATTTACATGACGGCCAAGAGAGCTGTTATGTAGGTTAAAAAATGACTTGATTCAGGGAATTTTACTATTTATGTAAACAGTTGATGTATTAGAAAAATATAACTTTAATGTTTATGAGTTCCTCGAAGAATAAATTCACGCTTTTGTGGCCAAACGCGGTAACAGATGTTTCTGTTGGTTTCCGTCCGCCATGTTGGTGCTCATCCGTATGAACACCAGCATGGCATCTCCATACAAATCTCTATAAATCTGGGTAGAACGTTTCTTCGGATATCTCGTAGACGAAACATTCCTCTCACCTGAAATTTGGCGAGGGTCTTTGCATATTTACCTCCTTTCATTTCCCAGATTCTGGACTTTATCTACTGAACAGTTTTGATTTTTATTTTGATCTATTTTGAATGGCGTGACACTGAAAACCAGCAACAGTTTGAGCTTTTCGTTTTTCTATAGTGTCTATCTTATATAAACGCAAAGTAGATGTGTTTAAAATGACTAATGCTAAAATATTGTCCAGGTTACAAGAAAAGAAATCACTAACCGCTGGAAACTTCACAACCTCACAAGTTGTTCCAGTCCACCATTGTGATATACGCACTTCTCCCGACACTCCACCCACTGGGGCTCCTTGATACGCCAGCCAATCCACTGTGATGTTAGCATATGACTTTCGCTCGTTGAAACCTGCAGCCATCACGCACGCGGTGAATCTATCCAAATTCACTTCTTCCACCCACGACACTGTGGCATCGTGGACATAAGACATATCACTTGTATCGATGTGATTGACTGTGATCTGTACTTCTATTGGTTTGTCAGGATAGAAAACGAAATGCTGCAGATGGATTGTTTCGCAGTGGGAGTATCCCAAGGATGGTATGTGAGGCATGTGGCGCCGTCCTCTTTGAAATGGAAAACCTATTTAAGAACACAAATCAAAATTAGTGGCTCATCAAGGCATCTCCCTATGATAAAACTCTATTAACAATCTCTAAAGGCTCCTTTCAAAGGCGACACTTAAAGGAAGTTTAATACTGGCCACCATTGGTAGGTTAGAATGCAAAGAAAATTCACACAAAATAAAATGGCATCTTTGAAGCTCAATTAATTCAGTTGAAACATTATTTCCCTGAAAGTTTCAAGTACAAAAAGTTTTTTGTACAAGCCTTAACAAGTGTCTCTAACTAATGAAGAGTGACGATTTTGATTTTCCCCAGCCTTACAGCATGGCGTGACTGTGAAAAGAGCAAGAGCAATTCCCCAATTCAGAAACTGTAGGGAGATTGGATACAAGCTTTGAGTGCAATGACTTATCTGATCGTTTTGGTGGACAAGTGTTAGTTATGATTGGTAGGTGGTCGGTGGTATTTATAGCAAACATTAAACTAATCATATATAACACTAGTCTTGTCCGACCAAACGTTCTAGAAATGGTTGCGCCGAAAGATTGTACCCATCCCTAAAAAATAGTTTAAAAAAACTGGTTTCACACCTTCGCAGCTACCAGGATGTTGTACAGTAAAGTTCTGTCGTAGCAGGCACATCTCTTGTTCAAAGAGGCACTCGTTGTCATACGTCGTGCCGTTTGAAGAGCATAAAGGTTTCTGAAATGACGGACATTTGTCTATGCACACACATCGGGCATCGTAGGGACCAAATGCCTTACATAAACCAAAATCACAGGTTACACCTAGACAAGGATCCAAGTCTAAAACGGGTTTTAAAAAATGAGACAAAATTATGTAAGTCTTAACGTTACCAAGGGATAGAAAAAGTATGCAACAATTAGGCAAAGTAAATTGGTGAGGTAGCAGCAAAATTGCGTGAGAAATTGTAGAGAAAGAACGAAGCTCAGTAAGAAGAGGAACTGGCGGGCGGCAACGCTGGAAGGGAGTTATAAGGAAAGTCAACCGAGTGACGGGTGTGGCGGGGGGGGGAGGAGTAGGGGGTTCGGGTACGGAAAGGCGTGCCTTACGATTGGCTGGATATGCAATTTATGTTAAGTTTCAGTAAAGAAAACGCCAAAGAACAGCATGCCAAGGATAGTTACATTTACTTGACAAAAATCTTCGCCGATGACTAAAATGAACGTTTGTGCGACATTCGCTTGCTCTTTGAAGCTATCCACTGAATTTTTTAAGGCTCCTTACAGTAAATGGTGACGAGATACGACGTCGTTGGCATCGTCAAGCTACATGAGGTTACATGACTGTCCATTTACTGAATAATTCGACTTTTCTGCTGCAGTTGTCCAAGTGCCAAAAGCAGCACTTTTTCTTTTCCTTTTTTAATTTTATCTCTATTTCGATTCAGTGACCGACCAAAACGAGTTAGCTGCGTTGTTCGTAGTGCGTCTCTAAGCATACTGGAAATGCACGCATGCTTTCTGGTTAATTCACCTTAATGAGTCATTTTATACTCACCTCCGATAACCATGTAATCGACACTGAAAGAATGCTTATTGCTGTAATCGTAGTTTCTCATACAAATCTCCATGCCTGTTGTGGAAGCGTACTATAGGGAGAAAAAAAAAGGTCAAATCGTATGACATAAAATTCGTAGAAGTAGATATTTAAAAAAAAAATGGCTGAATTTTGGATGAAACAGATGAACTTGGATGGAAGCGAAGTCAGAAGTGGCTTAAAGGGGATCCAATTTGCCCCATGTAGGATAATCCTGATTACTGAATCCAGGAAAATTTTGCACGTGTAGTTCGAGAACAAGAAAATTTTGGCTTGCGAAATTCGGAATCCTGGTCTTTGGAGCCCGTAATTAAAGTCAAGGAATCCGGTATCCTACTAACGGAGTCCAAGTTCCTCTGACAAGAATTTCAGAATCCCTTACCTGGAATGAGGAATTCAGAGCATGGAAACCAGGCCCCAGTTGTTCAAAAGGTGGATAACGCTATCCATCGGATAAATCTCTATCCACTGAACAGCGCAATTGGTTTTCCTAATTTCTTATCCACTGGATGGTGACGGTATCGCTATCCATCTTTTGAACAACTGGGGCCAGAATCCGATTTATTTACATCAGCGTTAAGATGGAATAGGTTGTGCAAAACAAATTACAATCAGGAACCTCACCTCAACCCAAGCGATAGCAGCGGAACATTTAGATCCAACAGACGAAATCGATTTGTTGTAAGCCAGCCTTGGCATTACAATAACCACTGGTGTAGCGTAAAATGGGTCTGTGAAGTTAATGTGCTGCAAAGCGAAAGGCAGGGGCCAATTTAATAAAAATTTAACTGGTATAATTTACAAGTGTGGCTATTGTTTTCATACTCTAAAACAATAGGTGCGGTTACACACACCACGGTGAAGGGCATTTCCCACGTTTCGTAGCCGTGGTTAATTTTAACGAGGGTTTAGTTTACCGTGGTAACATGTGTTTCCACACGAATTAATTCCCAAGTTAATTTAGCCGCTTTACGGCTTCATTGGCCATATTGCGGTAATAATCGTCGTCGATGATGACAGTATTTCATGTTTCGTATTTCTACTCACGTAGAGTTTAGCTGAATTTCAACTAGTATGTGATTACTGATAATTTAGAGAAGGTACATAGTACCATTTGTTTAATCTTGACTTTAGATTCAATTTTACAGTTTAGCTGCATCCCATCGTTTGATTGCATGCCAGGAATTGAACATATCTTTTTGGGAAATATCGTTCTTAAATCTAGCCCAAAAAACCATTTCAATCGATCACACGCACCACGCTAATTTGCCGTGGTAAAGTGTTATTTACCATGTTCAACGTGTCTCATGTAACCACACCTAATACCTACACTTGTAAATTACACTTGTAAAAGTTTTAGTAAATTAACCCCCACCCAGGATTTTATAAGGTGCCCTTCTATGGGTTTATGCTGGCTTGACGAGAGGAAATTATCATCTTATACTATGCTAGTACGTTTAACATGCTTCACAAAGGTTCCAATTTTGGGGAAGTTAAGACGGTAGCTGCTCTGAAAATTGACCACAATTTCTGACATTTCTGGTCATGTGACCAGTGTAGAGGAACTGCATTACATAAATATCAAAGAGCAAAATCCACCCCCTCGCGGACCTCAGGTCTTAAACGTACCAATTATCTATTTTCCGCATTTACGGGGTATTCATAGTGGAAGTGACAACCAATCCAGAGGTGAGCTCTCTACTTCAGTTATGCTTATTCTTTATGAGATTAATTTGACAATACCTGACAGAAAGGAATGTTGTTCTGTTTCGATGGTGCTTTTTTGTTTGCAAACTCAACAGTATCAATTAAGGTGAAGTTCTCAAGCGTCAGATTGTTATAAGCCAACCAATTCTGCAAGTCAAGGAATGGAGAAAATCAATTAACAACTCTATTCAATTATCAGTAGCTGTTACATAATCCTACACGGGTAGCCTACGAGCAAGCTCTCCATTTAGGGGAATCGCGAGAAGTCACGTGGGAGCAGCACGCGATCAAAGGGGTGCGTCTTTCCCACAGCCCGTTTCGTTAGCATAGATGAAGTGTTTACTGGCAGGCTATAACACTGTGGGAGGCAAACCGCAGATCGTCAAATGTTTAGGAAAAGAAATGGGTGATTCAAGTAGTATCATTTCGTAATTATATGATATATTAATTTTAAAAAGAGCAATAATTACTGACAATTTTGATGTTTTTGTGAAGTCCATCGAACAGCTTGACCTCCCTGAGACAAATTTTGAAACTGTCCTGAGTTGAGTCTTCGACCCAGTATACCAGGGCGTCCTGAGGTCTGACTGCATCCTGATGACTAGGAGTCACAAGTATCGTTGGGGGAGCCGAAAAACGCTGAAAAATCAAGGGAAAAAAGAATAGAAAAAAAAATCGGTAAAAATACTATATGTAAGCACATGGGCAAAACACTGTAGCCTGTGTAAACAGCCGTTTCACCTCGCCCCTTGCCGCTTGGGACGTTTTGAAACAACCCTAGCGGTGAGGAGAGAGGAGAAATGGCTGTTTTCGTAGCCTATTAAAAACACTCTCACGATGTAATGTTATCTGAATAAATGTTTTCACAAGTATTTTTCAATGTCAGCATAAGCCAGTAATCCAAGCGCACGCGTACGACCTTCTGACTCTTTATACGTGTGTGGTACTCTTCGAAAACATGGTTATAAAATACAGATGCTTTAGTTGCATATTTATTATTTTGGTCAACAAATTTAAGATGCCAAAAGATACATATTAGGTCTTTTTATAGGCTGTCATGTATCGCCGATTCAAAATTCAAGTCCTTGAACATTCTCAGTTTCGAAATTTATTTTTCCTAGTGTTCCTCTGCGAAACAAAGCAAAACCAAAAACAAATAACACCAAAAAAAAAAACAAAAACAAAAAAGGTAGTTCTTTTCCTGTCTTTCTGTCCGCATTCCACGCTTCACTGCTCTTTTTGCCATGTGTATCCGGGGTTGTTACCACCACAATCCCATGTGGAACGTTTTCACTCGGTTGAACCGCAAATTCTTGTCACAAAAAAAGCCTTAAGTTTTAATTATAGGGAGTGTTAATAAAGTTTGTATTGCATCGTAATTGAAACACCAAGTACCATTCAAAGCTCAGTCAGGAAGTAGTAGTTACTCTAGAGAACTGGATACTGTGACGAGGAAACCAAACTTACCTGTTGAAAGGAAATCGTCTTACACTCTGTTCCTGTGGTCCATTGGTCCAAGGAAGCGGTTCCCAGTTGAGCCCCTACAGGAGCAGCTTGTATCGCCAACCAGTTAAGCTCTGCAGTACCATTGGAACCATCGCTGAATTCTAACACGCAAGCCTTAAATCCATTTTGGTTTTCTGATTCCAGCCAGATAGCGGCGCCTTTGCCACCTTTTGGATTCTTAACTGAGTGACCGAATGAAGTCAAAACCTTAACTTCTTGTCCGCTGCCAAAAGGCTCTGAATATAGAACCTGTTTGCAAGCAAACAGGTTTCCGCTGGATGTGCTGACATTGAGTTTCCCAACCTTGTAGCTGCCTACGAAAAAGGAAAAGAAAGGACATTGGGTTTCATCCTGAGAAAAAAGATTGTTATTTTCGGCTGTTTTTTCACCAGGCAAACGGTTGCATCTGTGAACTGCTATCAAATCTAGTGCAATAAAGTGCCTTTGAAGTACTTAAGCTAATAAAAACTGATGAAAAGTGGATAATTCAGGTCATGTACCTGTACTTCCCTCTATTAGCAGCAAAAAGGTAAACAGCAAAAGAGACATTAGGAGATATGGTGTGGTAGATATTTTGCTTCAACTGAAGACAAGGCTTTAATATTCAAGGTGAAAAAGAGGGTTTGATGAGTCAATTGACAAACGTCATTTGTCGGTTGCTTGACTACCTGATTGGCTTGCTATCTCACCTTATTTTCTCACCCAATCAGAATTCAAGGCAATGCCTTGGTCGCAGTCGTTTCAGCGCGCGCTTCACGACGCATGTGCTAAGTTTTGATTGGTTTGTTGGATTATTTGCTTCAGTTGACTATTTTCTGAGTGTTAACTCCTGTTCTGACACTGATAAAAGCTTTGGATATCTTTCTTTCAGTAAAAATATATATTAAATTTTCTTTCACATCAACCGACCCTAAAACGCGACGCTTTTTGGAGCCGTTAAATCCATTTACGTTTCATCGCGATAGGAATTGAAAAAAAGAAAAATGACTTCCCTGAAAAGAACGAAGTAAAATTTTAATGTTTTCTTTAAATTTAAAAATGAGCAAAAGATAAGATTAAATAAAATAAAAACATATCTGTGTTTGCACCGACTGGCTTCAACAGCATGGTACATGTCCAAATAATCATTTAATTATACTTTCTGCTTATTTCCCTGTTTAGCTCTCTAATTTTTTTTTTGTAGGCAAAGCTTCAAGAGCCATTATCTGAGAAAATCGAGAATCGCACGACACTCGTCAAAAAATCGAATTTTTTTTTATTTTGCCAAAACATCCCTTTTAGTGACCTTATTTAAGGAAAAATAGTTTTGGGTTCAAACGATTCATTTTAAAGGAGAAATTAAAAAAAGTTTGAAAAATCGATTTTATGCTCGTTTTTCGCACAAAACACGGCAGGATGCAATGACAACTTCGAGAGAAGGGTGAACGCGTAAGAAACATTCCCTGACATTGAAACTTCACCGAATTATTATTTTGTTCTTACTCTTGAAAACCTTAAAAGAAAATTTGATAAACAATGCTTTACATTTTTATAATCGACAAGTGTAAAGAGGTCATATTTGTGACGTTAGACGTGCTAGAAAATGAAGGCCAACTTTGACTATTAAAAAAGGCCTCTGGTATATGCCGCTTGATCATAAAATCAATATAAAATGGAACCTTGGCTTTTGTACTAACTTACTGGAAAGTTTTAGCTCTGGAAATCAAATATCATCCTGACACCAAAGCAAGCGGTGAGAGCAATTGAATTGGGAAATTTATGCAAATTAGACGGCTTGCGGACGGTTGTCAAACTAAAAAGAAAGGTTTTACATGAAGGGATTACTCACCATTGCTTGTAACACTTTTTTACGGCAAGGAAAGTTATTTCCAACTTCTTTTGCGTCGTTTTGAGTCACAAAATAAATAATTTTTAGCCAAAAGACAAACGTACGTTTGCTTAGCAACTGCGTCCGAATCCGGCCGTGAATCGAAAGTCCCAACACGTCGAAGCAAGAGTTACAAGAGTTTTTACTTCAGTCAGGAGGCAAAAGGAATAAAAATTCATCGCAAACTAATGACTTCGATTTTGAAAACCTTTCATCACTTCAATCGTTCGTCGGCTGATAATAAACATCGCACAAGATCGTATGACCTTTGGCGTGTGACCGGAAATTGGTCACACGCTTTAGTCACGTCAGCATGCTGTCACGAAATTTTCGTAGCTGTTGTCAGCAATTTTAATACAGTTTTCACATTTTTGACAAGAACTCCCCTCATCGCAGTAGAAACAGCCATGCATATTTATTTTTCTTTTATTTACCTACTAGGCTTTGAAACAGCTTTTTGCCTTCGAAGTACCAAACAGGAGGGTACCTCGGATTCCAAGTGTCGTGAGGACCCGTGGAAGGAAAATCAAGACCAAAAAGAAAGAATATTTTGAATACTTAAGTAAAGCCACAGCTAAAAAAAAAAAATTTGTTCAAAATATTTTCAAAACAAGAAAAAAAACATACTTCGATCATCCCCGTGACTTGAATCTGGCCAGGGTACCTCCTCCCCCCCCTCCTCCCTCCCCTATGCCGGGTCAAAATACTAAGTTCCCCGGCCCAATGTCCCATAGTCAAGGGAGTATACTCTCTTGCTGTAGTAAAGAACTTGCAGAATAATACCAATTCTCCGTGGCCAACGGATTCAACGCTATAGTTTACTTTGGTTTTCGCTATTTGCTCACGATCAGGAGCCTATAACCCGAACCGCGGCCAAATTATGAAACCTGTTATTACCAGAAAAAAAAAAAAAAAACACAAAGAAACAGTCAGTCAGATAGAGAGTACATAATAAAAAAGACCTCGATTAAGATTAAAAAAAAATCAAGACATGACACCGTCGAATACGAAGACCCAGAAACCATTTTGTGGAAAAAAGGTTCGTATACAGCTATCAGCTGCTTTTGTCCACAACTCGCCGGTAGAGGTGCGCGGAAACTAGTGATTGTGAAATGGCTTCAAACTATGATCCTATAATGTTGGAATATTACTTATCACAGAAAGCTACGTCTCATTTCTTCTAGCAGACACAGTCCTCTTGGTTCGTGTGGACAAAGTAGCTCATCCCGGCTATTTGCACCATGCTACCATAGTCTCCCTAGATTCCAAAGCCTCGCACGCAGACTTTCCTGTCCCACGAACGTTGGGTAGGATTATAGGACGAGCCAAAAGAAAGTGAAGGTTATAGGCTCTCGCGATGATGCAAGGAAGGTCGAGTATTATATTCCCCTATCCAGGTCGCCCAGGGTAAGTCTTCGGAGGAGAGTGACTTAGGGGCGGTATGTTCGAAAAGTTGACTAACGCCCCCGGAACTAACGCTTTCCCCTGGATAAATCTATATCCAATAAGTAACGCAATTGCTTCATCTTATTCGCTTGATAGTGATTTCCTGTTGTTCAACGTTTGAACAACAGGGCCCTAAGTATTGTGTTTCGCCTTGCACTAAAAACCCATAAACCTTATAAATTTCACTGGGACTTCAGCACCTCCCTTGAATGATCCATTTCGCTAAACGGGACCTCAAAACAACGATTCTGTGCGTCCCAAGGGAGTGTATACTATACGTTCCTGGCTCTCGTCACTCACAGTGAGGTGATGGTGGCTCATACTCTAATAGACCTAACACAGTCGAACCTCCATGTGCGACCGCCAATCCAAAAGACCAAATTTTCCCATTCAAAGCCTTATATTTGGATTAACCTCCAGTAAACGACCTTCTGTAAGTGACTGCGACCACTTTTTGGGTTAATTGTTTTCCATAAGCGACCAGTTGACGCATTCTCTGCTCTCTATTTTTGCTGTGTGCACTATGTTCCTTGGAAAATATGAAGACCTTTAGTGACATCGTGGAACTACACATATCCTAACTTAGTAGATGTAGCCAACAAAGTGAAGATTCTGTTGTGATTCTAGACTATTCTATATCTCACTCACCTGAATCCCTCTTTAAATTGAGCATGATTTAAAAGCTGTATTTTTCAAAAGAGGTAAAAGATAATATTTTGCCAGGAATTTGTTACACCGCCATTTAATAGAATGTGCCCGGACCTCTTCTCGGAATAGACCCCATGTGGTCCGATTCTTCTAAACGGCCACCTCCCGTTAGAGACCATTAAGTCTTTCATTTTTGGTGGTCGCTTACTGGAGGTACGACTGTATTACTTTGACCTACCAGAGGCTTACCGATAATAAAGGGGATCTGGAAGGGGGCATGGATGCGACAATCACATGCCAGGTCGCTTACTTAAAATAGTGGACATCTAACTGACAATCAAAGTTTGTGCTTATTATTGGGGTTATCTGGTGTTTACTCACCTCCCAAGCTACCCTGGGTGAGCCAACTTTTCCTCCATTTCCTTACAAAACTTGGTAAACCATTTACATGAGAAACAAAAGGTTGGTTCGGATAGACGCCTTACTACCAGTAGTGGGCGGGGTTGAGGGCTTCCGGAAGTCAGCCCTCCACTGAGCCGGTAGTGGTGGCCTCACCCTTCTAGCCCGGCTAATATTTCTTCACTTTGGTCAAGGCTAGACAAAGACAGCATGCGCAAGCACTGTTGACTCGGACAAAGTGGTCAGTTTTTTCCTCATACAAACGCTCGCAAAAGTTGGCTCGGCTGGGAGGTTGACCTTCTCTCCGGCACAGCTTTTCTCCATCCATGGGTTCCAAACAGTCTTTTAGCAGTCACGTTTGAAATTTATAGGAAAATGATGTAGCACTTCAAAAAATAATAATAAAAAAAATACACTTTTTTCACAGCCTGTCAATGCCTAGAAGGTGTCTACTGCAGAACAGGAGTCAATTTCAGTTTTTTGCGCTTTTCATGCTAGCACTGCGAAGCGGACTGGGGGTGCGAGACACGCGCGATGCATGGGGAACAAGTTCTGCAGGCTATAAAAGAAATTAAAAAACAAACAAACAAATAAAGCAGGCCTGATTTTATTTCGATGAGTCTATTTTTTGTCGAAAGCAAACGTGAAAAATCGTATTAAAATTTGTGACAGTATGCTAACGTGACTTAAGCGTGTGACCGATTTCCGGTCACACGCCAAAGGTTTTATTATCAGCCGACGAACGATTGAAGTGATGAAAGGTTTTCAAAATCGAAGTCATTAGTTTGCGATGAATTTTCAATCTTTTGGCCTCCTGACTGAAGTAAAAACTCTTGCAACTCTTGCTTCCAAAGGACCGCAGTGACGTGTTGTGACTTTATTTCGATTCACGGCCGGATTCTGGCGCAGTCGCTGAGCAAACGTACGTTTGTCTTTTGAACCTTTTGGCTTAAAATTATGGATTTTGTGACTCAAACCGACGCAAAAGAAGTTGGAAATAACTTTTCTTGCCGTAAAAACGTGTTACAAGCAATGGTGAGTAATCCTTTCATGTAAAACCTTTCTTTTTAGTTTGACAACCGTCCGCAAGCCGTCTAATTTGCATAAATTTCCCAATTCAATTGCTCTCACCGCTTGCTTTGGTGTCAGGATGGTATTTGATTTCCAGAGCTAAAACTTTCCAGTAAGTTAGTACAAAAGCCAAGGTTCCATTTTATATTGATTTTATGATCAAGCGGCATATACCAGAGGCCTTTTTTAATAGTCAAAGTTGGCCTTCGTTTTCTAGGATGTCTAACGTCACAAATATGACCTCTTTAGACTTGTCGATTATAAAAATATAAGACATTGTTTATCAAATTTTCTTTTAAGGTTTTCAAGAGTAAGAACAAAATAATAATTCGGTGAAGTTTCAGTGTCAGGGAATGTTTCTTACGCGTTCACCCTTCTCTCGAAGTTGCCATTGCATCCTGCCGTGTTTTGTTCGAAAAACAGGAATAAAATCGATTTTTCAAACTTTTTTTAATTTCTCCTTTAAAATGAATCGTTTGAACCCAAAACTATTTTTCCTTAAATCAGGTCACTAAAAGGGATGTTTTGGCAAAATAATAAAAAATTCGATTTTTTGACGAGTGTCTTGCGATTCTCGATTTTCTCAGAAAATGGCTCTCAAGTGTTCCAAGCAACTCATTTCCCTTGTGCTTTTTTATTCCTTTTTCTTGTTTGTTTGTTTTCATTAAGGGAAACAAGAAGTTGTAGCTGAAACCTCTTTAAAGACTTAAGATAATATTATTTAGAACAAAAAAAAGCAGAAAAACAACTTGAGGTTTTTTCTTCACTATATGACAATATTTACCTTACGAGACAGTTACTAATTGATTGACACTTTGTCTGACTTTAACTGATTGAACAGGTAAGTTCAGAAGATGTCGTTGTAATCGAGTTAAAAGGATGTTTAGGAAGGAAAAAAAGTCTGCAAAATAAAAAAATTCTCAGAGAAATGAACACTGCTGAAAATTAAACAGTATCTTCTGAATTAAGTGTAATATAATAATACAATACGCAAAAACTCATTAGAATTGTTTAAAGCAAACAAATTGTGTAAATGTCAATAAACCTAAATGTGACCGAAACATTATAAAGAAATATACTTTTTTAGCCGTACATCCATTAGTGACATTATACGGGCCAACAATAATTTTTCAAGGTTATCTACAATTTTACGGTTACTACTAAAGAGAGCAGTATAGCAGTATTTTCAAGAACTCAAAATAATTAAGGAACAGAAAATAGAAGATCTAGATGTAGAAATATTATGGTACGGCACAAATAATGTGCCGCAGAAATAATCCAGACTTGACCTGCAAATCCCATTTAAATGATCATAGATAAATCTTAAAATATGTTTTATACGATTATGTTCGATTATTTTTTTTTAATTTGTTTCTTCCAAAAAGTTATCTGAGAATTATACATGATTGCTATTTATTTCAGTAATATGGCTGTGTGGATGCCCTCCTAACTTTAATTTGAGATGAATAGTTTTTCCTCCACTTTAATTGGGTATAGCTATTCAATAAGGTTTACAGGGATCTACAGTTTCAAGTAATGTTTGCTTCTCTGTCGATTCCCTCATCAACCTTTGAATAATTATCGTTAAAACAATCTCTTCTATGTGAAGAAAGCAATAAATAAACAAATAATTCAATTCATAAAAAAGTATGGATTGTAAAAAAGCAAAATCCAAAACTGAATTGAAATGAAGCAGAAGAGAGTGAATTAAAAAACCTTCTCGAAGTTAATAAGCAACGACATTCCGAACTTTAATTTATTCGCTAATGATCTAAATTCCACACAAATTTATAGAGCTTATAGTCTATGTTGCAGTCTGGAAATTATTGTAAATGTTTGGAACTCGCGTTTCTCGTCTGGAGGACTTATTATCTCTATTAAACTAAAAATCATACGATATTATAACGTCCCATTAAACAAATTCTCTACGCAGCTAGTTATGTTTTCCCTCATGATTAGCATACACATTTTGTACGCACCAAGATCGATGAACCGTAAACAGAATAATTTTAAAAGCGACAAATATTCATATACTGAGTACATAGTCTAAGAATAAAGTTAAATTTTACCTCTAACAACTCACCCAATTTCATTCAAGAGATTCACCAAACTCAATGGACAAAAAGTAGCGGGAGAAAGGCGGCGAAAGCAGCTACGGGTCTCTACAACACCAATCCCGTCGGCCGGTGCAGCAAGCACAGTTCCACTTTATGTGGGGATAATGGAGTATAATAAAGATGCGTTTTTGCGCGTAATACTAATATAAGTCGCGCAAAAAGAATAACGTAAAATTTTGAGCGTATTGTGGACAATTCTAAGTAAGGGCTGGTGCACGTCACAATGATGGAAGAAGAGAGGCCCTGGAGACAAGTGTTGTTGGGGTCAATAGCGGGAAATTTCGAAAAAAAATGGCGCTGATCCCAAATACATCTGATCTTCTTAAAAGACTTTCTGATAAAATGCACATACCAAGAAAATTTTACCTGAAATACTGGGATTATCTTGCAAAAAGGTACGCTGCAACTCTTTTTGAAACAAAATTTGCTTTCAATCACCAACTGATTCGAGCATCCTGAGGGACTAGTGAGATAAAGGGTAATGACATGACACCACTATCCAAAAACTAAGACAAACTAAGCTGTCAGCAACACACAAACCAGACCCCCAAAACTATTTAATCCGCATCTTACTGCATAAAAAAGGTAAATGGGGCCATGCAACTTTTAAGTCCACCAGGAAACACGTACGTAAAAGTGAAAACCAAACAGGCTCATTTTCAAAAGACTCTGTACCATCAATAATTGAAACCTTGGTAAGCAATTCTGGTAATATATGATATCAAAGAAAAAACTGGTATAACTAAAATCTCCCGGAATTTATACCCCCAAAATTAAAAGCTTGTGGTCCTTATACAATTTATCCAATATATTCTTAAAGGAGCTGCAACTCAGATTGCTCCTTATCTGTGTTATATATTCTCAAAGCTACAAGCTGACTAGCTTATTGCAAAAGTTACTGTTACTGTTAAAACCTCAAAGGGCACTATCCAGCCAACTTTGCCCTGTAGCAATAACGTCGGTCATATGTAAGTCAATGGAGCAGATATCTTGTGTAAATTTATTATTGCTGTTACGTGTGATGTCTCCACACTAAACAGACTAGTCTTTTTATATTTATCTGAAACATGTGTTAATATCTTAAATAAAAAGACCGCACTGATCTGAATCTTAAAGGAGATTGTTTACATATTCGTCTTCTATATTTACCTAGATTATTAGCTGTATTGGTCCTTATTTTTATTTCGATTGTGTGAAAGCGACTTAAGTGGAAACCAGCAATGGGTTAATATTTGCAAATACAACAAGGTAGAATTAGCTAATCTAGGCAGAAAAGTCTGTCATACCAAAGCTTTACTACATTCACAAAAAGGAGACTCATTTAACATAATTGCTTACACAAAGTTTTTTATAATTTACATTTCATATAATTACTATACTACGGTTCGTTATCACCAGTTCCATCACTAATAAATTCGAATCAAGACAAGTATATTTGTATGTTTTATTGAACACTGAAATAATTCTATTTGGGAAATGTCAATAGTTAGCCATCATGCTTCTTTAGAATATCAACAACGAAAGAGTGCAGTATCGCCGCTTAAATTATTTTTTGGGAGCTCTCTTACTACTCTCTTACTCTCTTCTACTCTTGAAGGAACACTCTTGAATTACTAAAACCCAAATCTCTAAATGTGTAAGTTATTAGATGACGAACTCACCGTTCAAAAATGAATATCGCTGAATAGTTTTAAAATGTTCCTCCGTTTACCATTTGATTACACAACAAACGGATTCGTAATAAAGAAAATTTAGAGGTAAAATAGTCATAACTTAGCATCAATATCACAGAGAGATAGGATGTTCATAATAATCACTCTACTAAAATATAAATCTACGTGCCATGGTCAACAGTAGTAAGTGGGAATGCTTTCTTGAAATCAATTCAAAAAACACAAGCGCACAAGAGGCGCTTTAAGCGTTTATCCATAACAAAACTGCATGTTGACAAATTTCACGCACCGCTCAAGCATTAAATGAAATTGGGATGGAACGAAACTTGTAAGCAGCAGGGATATAAGACCTCTAACACGACGAATATAAAAATTCTGATGGCTGCATATTTTTTCCATCTATTCATTCGATGACGTTCCGAAAACACCGGGAATGACTTTGTCTACAACGGAACACAAATGAAGCAAAAAGGTTAATTCTGATTTTAATACCCGTCAAGTGGGCGATCATTTCTTTCTAGAAATTCACCTAACTCGCCATCGGAGGATGAAAAAGGGAAACGTACCCTGCGTGACCGCTCTCCTATTGTATATCGAATATCACAACTTATTTCTTTCGATTTCTTGGACTGATATGAAAAAATGTAATTATATAAAGATGTTTTGGAATGTTTTTCTACTCGACACGATACGATAGACATGCAATGAACCATTGCATTGAACAACCTGCCTCTCATTGGCTATCATTAAGGGTCAAATACTTAAAAATACCCAATCAGAGTTGGTCTTAACAATGGAAAATGCCAGGCTTTCATGCTAAGCTGGCGTGGGGACTGAGTACAAAATTATTTTGCGGGGGCTTTTTTGAAGAACAAAATGAAAACATTTTGTACTCCAGTTCTTTTAGATGAAAGACAGAAGACTCATATTTTTCTTCAACAATTGATTGATTAAATATTAGGATTAAAAAAGTCCGTTCATATTAACGGCTGATGAGCCCACACTTAAAGATCAACTAAAAGTGACGTGCGTACCGTTTCCCTATTAGCCTGCTTTCCCTGAAGAAGAACAGCCAAAATATCGAGGGAAATCGAGTCGTTTTTGTCTTTGCTGTTTTGGTTGTTATTGGTTAATTGTTTCCAATGGCTCTCTTCGTCCCTTGTCCGGAAGGTCGAAGAAGAAAGCTCCTGGGGAAGTCTGGGGACAAGTGAATTAAGCGGGAGTTTTGAAGATGGCGATAAGAAAAGAAAAGTATTTACTTTCCCAATTGGCCAGGAAAATGCATATACCGAGAAGGTTTAAACTAAAGGAATGGGACCATCTCGCCCGAAGGTCAGTCTCTATTAGAGTGATTCGAACCCTAAATCTCATCGTCTTCTTTGACTTTTAAGTCGTCCCAGATCATGGGCGAAATAAATGAGATTTCGCCATCCTGCTACGTACTGTGGCACCCAGCTGCTTTCTTTTGTGAAATACAGTATTGCTGTCTGCAAGTTTCTTAATTTGGTAAACGAAGGCTACAAATTTCTAGGTGAATGTACCTGATTCATGAACGATTTAATTCAAAGGTTATCTCATGAATTCCCTACGATTTCTGGAAGCTGTATTTTGTTCCATTTTACTCCCCAAGTTTGACTATTATTCGTAGGAAAACGAAGAAGCTGAGGATGAATTATATAGTTTAATGTTAATAAATCATGTGGCTACGATGGCTCAGAATTCTAAGAATTGTATCAACTTTTATAACTTAACTCCTAACACATACATTCAACCAATTATTTCTTACTTGTGTGATACTAGAACAACTAAAAATAACTCTAGTTACCAGAATTTTCAAAATAAACGAAAAGTAACTTTTTACTAACAATTGACCAATTACAGTGCTCCAATACTTTAGAAAAATTCCAAAAAAGCTACAAGGGACTCGTGATAAACAACATACAATACCACAGCCAGTTTGGCTCTCCAATCATTTAACAACTCTAGTCTCAACGTTAGATCTTGCAACTAGATTATTAAAATCGATAGATAACAACAAATGTACTGTTGGTTTATTTCTAGATCTTGTTACCGAGTGCAGTTAATCAACACTGTGTTAGAAAAACTAGAGCCTTATGGTATCAGAGAATTGGGGTAGCTTTAGACTGGAATAGAAATTATTTAAAAAAAACAGAAAGCAAACTGTTAAGTACCAGTCAGATATTTCTGACAGTTTAACTTTTAAAGGTGGAGTACCGCAGGGATCAGTGAAGAGACCTTTAGTTTCAACAATGTTAAATTTCAACATAATTATTTTCGAGCGATAGAAATATATTTTACAGAAATCAAAGTAACCATCGATACCCTGTATTTCTATATACTACTACTATAAATCAGAAACTTAAGAAAATTACAATGTGGCTTTCTGTCAAATGATCTTTAAAAATGGTTAAAGGCTTGTACATGATGGAAAGTCCACTTATCCAGCTAGATTACAGGCACTCCACTCAAATACTTAGAAAGAAATAATCTAACTAGAACATGACAAGATTAAAAACCCCAACTGACATGAGACATTGCAACCAGCTGGCTGTTTGTTCGTGATCGAGAATATGAACTCAGGACAACCGAGAACAAATCCAGCAAGTGGCCAGAGCAGCACTCTAACCCAGGAACCCCGCATTGCGAGACCGAAGCTGGACTGACTGCTCGGTCGCACTTTGGATCTTTAAAAAAACATATCACACCACGGTGTTTAAAGCAAAAAAAGGGAAAACTGTAGTATGGAAAATCAATCATATAAATCAAGTATCATCAAAGATAGTAAAAATGCCAGGAGTCATGGAGAGCATGGTACTACCTATCTCAAAGTAAGGAGAAGAAATTATGAGTATTTGTCAACTCATTACACATACGTAATAGCTCTTTTTTATGTTTTCTTATTTCCACTGCAAACTTTGCTCAGAATGAACGTTTAGACCTGACTACATACATGATCAGTCTCCTATATACTCTATCGGATGATATCAATGAACAAATTATGGTAAATTTTCCAAGATGTACTTATTAGCGGAATATGGAATAGCCTTCCACTAAGCTCAAGAGATCAACAAAGTTTTAATCTTTTCCAAATGCTTGCTAAGATACATATACTAAAACAATCTCTAGTGTAACAAAGCCGCTAGTTCATTCACTGTAACGTACTTCAAATACGTTTATAGAAATATATTAATTCACAAAAAAGGGATATTCCTTGAAATGCTCGTTGGAAAGATCCCTTGTAACATTATAACCACTTGCAAGTTCTCGCCAACCAAACATCTGAACATTAGGAGCAACCCAACGTCATCATTCCTTTATCTTATTTAAGAAATATGGTCTGCATGAATCAAATTTTGGCGAGAACACTAGAGAACAACTGTAAACAAAGATAAAAGTTATTTCCTAGACGTCTTCAACAACGCACTTTGAATTCACGCCAGCGAAAATGTAGCCTCTGCTCGCAGGGTAGCTTCACGCCGGATTCATGACAGGAAAACGTTTATGTTGATCACTGTTTCAAACTTCAAGGCATTTATATACACATATATTCAGGGTTGTCCAGCAAGTAGCAAAGGTAGTCTAGGCAGATCAAGGCTTTAAGAATTCCTCAAGATCACTAATTATACAATTCATTATCACACATGACTCTATATTAAGTAATATACAGATTTAGCAAGGGCTAAAAGCGAAACCCCTGTTTATATACTTACAATGAAAAAGCAACTAACTTTAATACAATAAACCAATTAATTCTCAACCACTAAAAGGAAATCTACAAATCCCTATACTTATCTTTGGGACCCTTCCTTTAACATTTTAAGAAAGGGGCTGGGTGGGTGATTAAAAAGAGATATCTCGCAAACGCACCAAAATCCTTATGTTAACAACGAAAAGAAAATAATTATGCATCATTTTCCATCCCAGTAGTTGCAATTCTTCCAAACCACATCACCGAACCCCCAGCCACACCCCTTTGCAAAGTTATAGGTCAGGTTAATTTGTTTACTGTAGCTCTTATTAAGAGGCAGGCTATATAACTTTCAACACCTTATTTTGTTCTCAGATTAGGCCTTTCAAAATCCTAGAGCACGTGTTGATGGTTTGCTTTTCATCTGGCTTTTTCTTAGAATTTATTTCGTTTGTTTTATTTTCCTTTGGGCCTGTTCCTTTACTGTTCAAAGTCTCAAACTGCCACATGGTCCTCTCTGTATTAAACACAATGAGCCAGAGGAGTTTCGTGTTACAACTCTCTTTAACAGGCGGACGTATACTAACGTATACTATAATTTGCAGTCTGTCTACTTTGAACATAATTTAATGACTTTTGTTGTCACCTTTTGTTTAAGGCCACTGACTAAAAACGATCTCTGCACCTCAGCTGTGGTTGAATTGCCGGTAATTTACTTTCCTAAAGAGCAGGGTTGTTTGTCATAAGAAGGGATGTCCGAATTTTTTTCTTTTTTTTATGTCGTGGGGAGGATATGATAAAAAAAATGCTCATTTAAAAAATATCCTCTGCCCCCCTCCCTCCCTTGCAGACGGTATGCGTAATTTAATGTAACTTTAAACCACTCAAACTACAGCAGATGCAACAACCTAAAAAAACTAACGACACCTTGACTTGCATATACCAAAACGATAAAAGAAAAAGGCGGAAAAGTATCATAAATATAGGAATAGAGAATTTCAATTTTCAATTTTTTTAAGAAAATAACCCCAAATCATTGAAATTTTATGGCTATTCTGCATGCAAGTAATCACCTTTTTTACGACAAGCTCAAGCTGCATTAACGAAAATGATAAAACTTTGTTATATTTTTCAGATGTGCACGATTTAATAAAGAAAACAGTCGCATCATCAAAACGATGTTCTTGCGAGGTTCATCAAGGACTAAAGTTTTAAATATCATCAGGGAGACGATCCGTTGGCCAGACAAAATATATACTCAAAAAGATAGAAGAAAGGTAGTTTTAAAAAAGTACAAAGAAGAAGTTGGTGAGCTACCTCACTTCGACGAAAAGGGACGTCTCACTACAAGACTACTCAAGACGATGAGAGTAGTTTACAACATTGACAGGAAGAAAAACGTGCAAGTGATAACGGCACATCCACTGTTCTTAAAATACTAGGTAAGAACTACCCGATGACTACTTAATGTTATAGCACCATTTTTGTTTATCAATTGAACCTCAGGGTACCGTTCCGGGACCTTAACGTTTACCAGATCATGGTTAATAATAGTAGACATGGATTGCTAAATTAAATGTAGTGTACCCTTTGGGCCTACTGTTACTAATTAACATAATAGAAACTTAAATTTCTTGTTACCTTGTAAGTTTTCACCACTTTATTATTATTGTTGTTGTTAACATTTTACGAAGAATTGGAAGAGGCCTTGTTGGTGTTGTAGAAATGAACTGAAATACATTATAAAAGGCATAATTAAAAATATCAGATCTGCGTTAAATCTTCTCGAGGGTAGGAAATATAGTGCTATAATACCAGTTCAGCATTCTTTTTGCTTCTGCTTACAAGGGTAGGAAACTTCTTAGTTTATACCACTTAAACTTATGATCGCTTTTCGCCCTCCTTATTTAGCACAATTTAAAAATAATAATTACTGTGAAACTCACAAAACGGTGAAAACCAGGAATATTCATGAAATGTTATTGTGTTGCGAGAGATAAGCCAATAAGGCGCGAGTAACTAAACCGCAAACAACAACGGTAATTTAATAGTTGTGGTTTTGAGGTTCGCTTGCGTATCCTGAACTTTATTGTGATTGGCCAGTACACAGTCAACATTCCTGAAATTGTTCAGGTGTTCATGGTTTTCTGAGTTTGACAGTAACATACCGCACTGAAATAATGAAGCTTAAGTATTACACCTTTTGCAGTTCATTAAGAGAAAATACGCATTCATTTGGGTGAAATGGAGACCAACAACGCGAAGATACATTCATTTGGGCGAAAAAGCGAACATTTGAGCATAAATCAGATTCAATAACGATTTTGCATTTTAATCAACATTCAATAACATTTTTGGGCATTCATTTGCGTCATTCAACATATAAAGGAGAAAAATATGCTTTCATTAACGCCAATATTCGAGTCATTAACATTATCTTGAAAATCATTTGGGACAATAGACGAACATTTAAGTGCAAACGCCATTCATTAACATTTTTATAACACTGTTTGCAATTCAATAGCATTTCTGGACAGCTTTAAAATGGATAAGACAAACATTAATGCGCTTGTACAATCAGGGCTTGTTTACATGGAGGTGGGGGACCCCAGGTAGGTGAGGAAACCCGCTTTGGTGGGTAACCCGCCTGTCCACATAATCTCTCATTTTAATTTGATCACGTTTACATGATAGGTGTGGTGACCCGCCACATGTTACCTCACCTATCTGGGGTCCCCCACCTCCATGTAAACAGGCTCTTAATTGAACGTTCTTTACGTTTAATATACAAAAATCTATCTTCAATTAAATAATACCAATTTCCCCCAAAGATTGGCCTGAATTTGTTTAAAGAACCACGCCGTACTTCGCCACTGTGAGTTCGTCGACAACTGCGGCTGTACAGTTACCCTAGACGGCCAGAAGTCATGGTGGGGCGCAACAGGGAGTGGAGGGCGTACCGCCAACTTTGCGGCCAACGAGGACGAAACTTGACTATGACCATGGCAAAATCACCTAGTATCAAATGTTTTGTTCAGCAGCTGCTGGAGTAATGAATGCTGTGTCAGTTTTTAACTGACCTTTTGGCACGGGCGAGGAAAAAAATGGATCCCGATAAGTCGGGGGTCTTTGCGTATGACGGGGTTTCAGCCCACCTAGATTTGGCCATTCCCGCGCCATACGTACACGGCTTAAGCTTCCCCACTTGAAATCCTTGAAAAGGTTTTAAGTTGACTGAAAGCGATACCTAAGGCCGACATCTCGCGTCCGGAAATTCAAAGATGTACATGTATAGCAGGAGTGAGGGCAAAGCCCTAGAAATCCCACTAGCGGAGTTCAGACACAACTACATGTACTGCTGTGCTCGAACCTCTGCGCAGATATGACATTGTGGCCGCAACTAAATGTGCTAAGGGTACCATTTTATGCAAAGCTACCTCCCAAAATGTTTAAATAGAGAGGTTTTTGAAGGGTATACATTTATGGACTGAAATTCAGGCCAAATTTGTTTGAATTTTTTATTGTTTAATTGAAAATCGATTTTGTAATATATTAAAAGTAAAGAACGCTGAATTGATTGTACAAGCGCATTAATGTTTGTCATATCCATCCTAAGGTTGTCCAGGAATAGGCGAATCTTTGCTGACGTCATTGTTTACATTTTTCCTCATTAGCATACGACTTAACTCATAGAGGCCGTGGCCGTATATATGAACTAAATGCAAAAGTTGAAAGATCTTATTAAGTTGAGAAATTTGTGCAATTTTCAGCTCTTTGCAAGCAGTATTGACGGAAATATCAGCCATCAAAAACTGCGAAATTGCTGTGTGGCAAAAAAGTTAATGAGCCATACATTCTCTGTAAAATTTCGAGTTTTTAGAAGAGAATTTCTCCGAAACTATTCGGTGTATTGGGCTCAAATTTTCAGAGATAACTGAGACTGTTATACCCTTTCAATATTCAGAGTTTTTATTTTATTAGCGTCATCAGATAGTGGTAAGCATTTGTTAATGAGGCAAAAAGTGTAAACAAAGATTCGCCTATACTATTGAATTGCAAACAGTGTCATAAAAATGATAATGAATAGTGTTTGCACTTTAATGTAAATTGTCCCTATTGACTTTCAAGATGGTGTCTTTTGTATGCCGAATGACGCATATGAACGCCCAAAAGTGTTGTTGAATGTTGGTTAAAATTCAAAAATCGTAATTGAATCTGATTTATGCGCAAATGTTCGTATTTTCGCGCCAATGAATATATCTTCCACAACTGGTCGCCTTTTCACGCAAATGATTGAGCATTTTCTCGTAATGAACAGCAAAAGGTGTATTCCACTGTGGATATGCTACTACTTTTCAATATGCAGAAAAGAAGGCCTTGAAAATTCTAAATAAATGAAGCTTTCAACCACAAGATTCAATATATATATATATATAACAAACGTAACGAACTTGTATCTTCTTGCCGCCACAGAAACAAAGCGTTGCTACGTAACAATTAAACATTTAAATTTAAATTTTCCGCAACAATGTAATCTCAAAGTATATAGTCGATGGTTATGAATATTCTTATCATTAAAATCCCCTGAAGAGTGAGCGATCACGAAACAGGCTCGTCGGGATGAAAGTGTAGGTTTTTTTTTCCTACTTCCAATATATATATATAATTGCTTTACTTATTTGCGTTACTTATTTGGCACATAGGATGTTTACAGTCAGCCAATAACGTGACTAGTTTTGGATTACATGCACATTGTCACGGCATTAAATTTGAAAATGGTGAAAAATGTCCGGCAATGCAAGAACAATATTAGGCACTTGCCGGGACAAAGGAAATGCTTTTGGCGACGAATTTCGACAGTAGATATGTTTAACAATACTTTTGGCTGCCATTTGCGTCATCAGCTACTGAAGAATTAAGAAAATCGAAGTAAACGAGAGTGCTTTCAGCCACCTGTTTTTCCTGAATGCTTTGAATAGTCGCTCAGCTTGGCCCTTTACCCTAAAACCCTGCTTGTTGTTGCCTAATTTATCTTCAAATTCATGCTCCTGTGTCCAGAGATTGAAATTTAAGAGAAAAAAGCTAAAATCACACTTTTCATAGCATTGCTTCGTGATAAAACATGTTTAATATTAGAGCAAGCGTAGCGTTAAAGTATCCAAATCAGATTACCTAATTAGCATTAATTTGATGGAATCGCAAAATAATATGGGTTACCATCGAGTGAAAGATATATATTTTATTTTTTGGCATTTGAAAAGGGGTTTTGTGCTCTTTCGAAAGAGGCCAAGCTTTCTATGCTGCTCTAATTAACGTCTGCGGATACTTTTTGTTTATTTATTTATTTATTTATTTATTTATCTCTCTATTTATTTATTTATTTATCTGTTTATTTTAACGAGATGAATTTATTTTCAGCTTTCATTCGATTCGGTCGTCTGGTGAAAAAAGAATCGCCAGTTTTCTTGTTTCTCGGTTTCCAAGATTAAGTGTGAAAATAATATCAACTGCTCTAACTGTAAATAAAATAATGTAACGAGAGTGCACAATGTAAATTTAAAATATATAGCCTATCTGGCTGGATAAAAAAAGAAAGAAAGAAAATATCATGTGTGTGTAGTTTTTTTCCTGAAAGTCCTTCAACATACCTTTAACAAAATCTCCGCCTTTGTCTTTCAGAAATGCATAACATGGAAAATTGCTTCAAAAGGAGCTGTAAGGTGCAAATGACGCCATCTGCAACATACCTGAAATATAAATGATTAATCCTGTAAAATTTATTTTATTAGAAGACTTAGTGTGTTTTCTTTTTTATATTAACTTGTTCCCTAAAAACGTTGTGATATAAGAGGGTCCGAATGGGGTTAACTGTTAGCCATAAAGCAGCCGAACGTGTTAATCGTTAGGCAGAAACACTGAAAAATTTCTATCCGTTTGTCGTAGAGAAATTAGCCTGGGCCGAGTTGTTCAAAGCTGGGTTAAGATATTTCAGGGTTAGTGCGAAATTTGAATTCAGATATATGAAAGCTGAAAAAGCATTTCAGTTTTAATTCTTTTTGTCTACAAGTTGATGATTAGAAGCTCTAAAAGTTACAGAGAAAATTACCCGAGAGAATGCTTTTGAAGACAAGAAAAATAAACCCGAGTTAAGCGCTAACGGGTCTTCGAACAACTGGGCCAAGTATTTTTTAATCACGATCTATCATTGTGAGAGTGCCCCTCTTGCTTTTTACGACTTTAAGTAAAAAAGTGTCTTATGTGGTCCTGCTCATGAACCCTATTTTAGCCATTTCTCTGTCTCGGAAAGGTCCTTAAAAACCTTATTCTGATGGAAACTTTTAATCTTTTACAAAACTGTAGATGTTCTTCAGATGTCTGTTAACCCGAACGAGGAGAATTCGAATTGCCAAGAGCCCCGTAAAACCTAAAAGATAAACCGTTAATTAACCGTTAATGCCTCTAACCCATTGACACCCTCAAATAGACTGCTTAAAAGTTTGACTACTTCGCTAGGTCATTGCCATCTAGGTATTCTGATGACTACAGGATGGACTGCAAAAACCAAGTAGCCCTTATCTTTTGAATGAATGAATAATAATAATAATAATAATAATAAATGTTATTTAGCCAGGTTTATCTCTTTATTGGCTGCATCGACAGTTAGATTGTTTCTAATTCTTCCGAGGACACCGATTCTCTTGGAAATCTTAATCTTAATCTTATCCATGCACGTGCTGTTTGAAATTGAGATCTGCATCTATTAGCACACCAAGGTATTTGTAATGTTGTGCTTGATTTATCGGCTTATCCCTGAGGAATAAGCTAAATGGCCCATCTGAAAGGGTGGCCGAAGCGATTCGTTGTTGAGTGCCGAAAAGAACGTATTCGGTCTTCACAGGATGAATGCACAGCTTATTAAGATGGGTCCAGGACTGCAACTGTTTTAGATCTTTATTCAAAACGGTACTTATGTTTCCGATATTGGAGTCAGCGTAGAAAAGGACAGCATCGTCCGCATAAAGTAGGATCTTTGACTGAAGTAAACAGTTGGGCAAGTCATTGATGTAAATCGAAAACAAAATCGGACGGAGTATGGACCCTTGTGGGACGCCAGATTTTATCTGCTGAGGTGCAGACTGTGCGCTGCCATAGACAACAGATTGACATCGACTCGTAAGATAGTTCTTAAACCACCTCAGTTCATGGTTGTTGATACCATACTCAGGCAGTTTCTTTAGGAGAAGTTGGTGATTTACACTGTCGAAGGCTTTTCGAAAGTCGACTAACACCGCTGCTGTAACACTACCTTCGTCAATGCCTTTCCTAATACAATCCGTGAAGTATGTAACCGCGTCCTGGGTAGAATGATTTTTTCGAAAACCACACTGGAAGGGAGATAGCTGACTGGACTTATCTAAATGTTAGAGGAGTTGTATTTGCACGGCTCTTTGAAGGATCTTCGAAGCCACCGGTAAAACGGAGATGGGACGGTAGTTATCCATATACTTCTTATCCCCATCTTTATAAAGTGGAACCACCCTTGCATATTTCCATTCCTCCGGTAAAACTGCAGAAGAAATCGAAAGATTTATTATGACTGTTAGCGTAGCTGAGGTGCTTGGAGCCGCATCCCTTAGTAAACGGGCTGGAATTCCGTCAAGTCCTGTACCTTTCGATGTAAAAGCAGCCTAAGTTGACGATGAACAAACGCAGCTGATACTGGTTTCAAAGAGAACAAAGATTGACTTGAATTATTCAAACATGCTTCTGTGCTCAACTGGTTCCAGTTAAGAGGTAGAATACTAGAAAGCAACTTTCCACAACATTTGTAAAATATGTGCAGAAACCGTTTGCAATAGTAAGGGCATCCGTGGTTGTTTTTCCATCTACAGTGATGGGCTCAATAGAAGCTGACGGTTGAGGTGTAACCGATTTGTTGGGAAGGACTTTCTTAACAGCTTTCCAGAAATTCTTTGGATCATCAGAATTTTCTTCTATGATTCTGCCGTTGTAGCTGGATTTCGCTTTTCTAATCATGGCAGTAACCTGATTTCTCAAACTCTTGTATCTAGACCAGTGTAATTCGGTGTTTGTCCTGCGAGCTTGGCGGTAAAAATGATCTCTCTCGGTCATTACTTTCTTTATCTCGTTTGACAACCAAGGGATGTTTCTGCCGCGAACTTTCTTTTCAATTTGAGGTGCATGGTTATCAGCCACGTGCAAGAAACATGTTTTGAAGTTCAACCACGCATTATCGACGTCCTGACACTCACTGAGGTTGTCCCAGGAGACAGATGACAGATCTTCATTAAAACGTGTAGGACAATACTTGCCGTAGTTTCTGCATTTTATCGTTCGTGGTTTAACGTCATGTCATGATCACTGAGTGCTGACTTGACCACCTTGACTAAGGTAATATTCTGTGGTTGAGAAGTACAGATAATGTCAATAAGAGTTTGGGATTCCCTTGTGACTCTTCTAGGCTCATTAACAACCTGTGTCATGTTCATGCTTTGAAGAATGCTCTTGAGCTTCTTTGCTTCTCCCTGACACCTCGCACCAGGTGAAAAATTACAATTTAAATCGCCCATTATAATCACTTCTTTTTTTTCGGCATTGGCAACTTCTAAAACATGCTCAAACGACGACGTAAACTCCGCATCCAAGAAATCAGATCCATCTGGGGGGACGATAAAGTGTTCCCAACAGAATCCTTTTTGATGAATGAGGCTGAATAAGTTATATCCAGATAGCATCTAGCTCGGGTTTTTCTAAATCTTCTCTTCTAAAAGCCGATAAAGAATCCGCTAAATAAACAAGAACCCCACCACCTCTGTGATTACTCTGTCGATCCTTTCGGTAAAGTTTATAGCCATCAATCGTTATTTCAGTATCACTAACATTATTGGAAAGATGACTTTCAGTAACTCCAAGAATGCTGATTCCTTTATGTGACTCTAGTAAAGCTCGAACTTGGTCAATCTTTGGTAGCAGGGATCGGATGTTTTGATGACATACTTTCAAGCCCTTCGAAAGTAGCAACTCCGAAAGACTTTTAAGTTTAGGGTATGCTGTGTTCTCGCTCTCGCTAACTTGCTCAGTGACTACCACCTCTCCTTCGCTACAGCTTTTACAACACTTGCTGTCCTCGAACGAAATTCTGATACACTTCAGGTGAAAAAGACCATTGCATGCTTGACATGAAGCTTCACCTTGGTTCCTTCGGATCGTCTTGAGACAAAGTGAACACAAAGGTCGCTTAGCGTGGTTTACCGGACCAGGGTTGAGTGATATATCACCTGCTTGCATTAAAATTCCGGCAGCGACAAAAAAGTTCACCAGTTTGATTAACTGTCCAGGGTTGCCAAGTTTGAAGGTTGTTTTGAGGTCCCGCTTTCGTTCACGAGGGAAACCTTCTAGCCGGAACGAGATTTCTCTTGCCTTGAAGTCTCTCGTAACGGCCATCGATCTAATAAGATTTACAGAGACATAACTTGACTCAAACCAAACGGACCTGTCCAAATGGTTCGCCGAAGAATTCACCTTATGGTTATGAGCACAGGATAACTTCTAGGCGCGAAAGTTAAACAGCGTCGACTGAACGACAAGGAAAACCACAGAGCACAGCAACGCGTGACCGGACGCCATATTGTGCACTAACTTTATGAAGGTGGCATAACCTGTGTTCGTCTTTGAAATTACCTGTTAGCAGTAATAATGTCATTGACATCTTAAAATGCGTACAACGTGACTCATCTTATCTCTTATATTTTGAAAATAAGGTACGGGTCGGAGTGCTCTTGTTCCCCCATATATTCGTGCGGTTGGTTGTCAACGATTTAAGCCAAGTTATCGTATTGTTAAGTATCCAAAGTGTCTTCAGTCGAGCCTACAGAGTAATTCTCTATCATGAACACATTATTAGTATTAAACTTGTCCATTTGATGGAGATAAGAATGTTAGGTAAGAAAACTGATCTTGGAACTTTTGGAAATTAAAAGAGGCATTGAGATGTACGTTTATATAATTTTCCTAGTTTAAGCCATTTTTTTAGATTGGATTTTCGGTTTTTGCTCTTGAAATAACTGACGTTTATGCAGCTGTCAGTTTTTTTTCCGCTTAACCTCCATGGCGGTGTACATAATGTCGATACTCGGATCCGCACGCTTCAAATTTTTATGCAAAGTCATTCACGCCAACATCTTGAAGACAAGTATGATGTATGTGTTACTTACGGGGAAACATGCCGCTTAGATTTTATAAAGGTCAGTGAATTAGAAGCCATAGAATTCTCATCGAAATTGTCCTAAAAGGTCAGTTTACTTATAATCAGTCCACTCCTGCATCTCTACAAATTAAGAAGAATCGGAAAGGTAGCTTCGGTTTGATCATATTGACCAAGCTCTTTGCATCTAATAAAAAGTTTCGTGAAGTTTGCTAAAGACTATGTTATAGTTACGTTTGTTTCAAACGTCATGTAAGGAGGTGTCCTGGGTACTTACTTTGATTCATCTCCAGTTTTCTGCGAAACTTGGTTACACTGCAGCAGATTCTTTTCACTGTAAAGTCCAAACATATATAAGTTGTTTCAGTGATCTACATCGAGAGAGTGCACGAAGAAAAAAGGCGGGACAATATTCTCTGAGGTCACTCATCCCTTAAATTTATTACCTCGAAATCTTTTTGATTGGATAAAATTGGCACGCCACGTCCAATCAGAAATGTTCGCCAGTACGCTGTATAAATTTAAGAGATAAATATCTAGTCTCTCTGTATTTTACATTATGTTGATCGAGGCTGTAAAAATGTTGGACAGACACAGTCTATAACAGAAGGAAGATTCAGGAGAAAACCTTTAATTGGGGTTTACATTCATCGTCCCCCTTCCTGTGTAAGTCTAAGAATTGAAACTGAAATAGGTGAACAGATATCCTATTTCTAGAGCAGTTGGAATGTTGTTAATCTACATAATTGACCTCTCATGCAATCAGTTTCACTGTTTCTTATCCATCATGATCAACGAGCTGTGTAAATATCAACCTTTTACCCAGCCTACGCAAATTAAAATTCCATAAACAAAAGGAAAGGATTGGGCTTTTTTGCATCAGGGCTTGTTTCACGTTTAAGGTAAAACATTTCCTTTTTCATAAATCTTAGATCTCTTTACCGTCATGTAAAAGGCAAGCACAAAGTTTCTCATTACGGCTTGGGCAAGACTGAGTTAACATGTTCATTGATTCGCGGAAATCCTTTGGAAAAATGATCGGGCCAAATTATGTTTGTTTCTCAAAGGCTGGCTAAATGCATGAGTTGTAAAGTTAACGTCATCGGGAACACAAAGAATGTGTGTGGTAGAATAAATAAAGTACCTATCTTCGGCTTAAAATGTCTCATTTGTTGGGGGAAACCGAACCAGCCCGCAATCCTAATCTCGATCCAGCTTGCTATTTTGTATTGACGACTCATATGTAACTAGCTTCGTTAGGACGTTTGCTTTTATTTTACTCAGAATAAATGGCATGCACAAAACGCAATCTGATCACGCGCATTTGGACCGTCCATCACCTGAAAGTTCCGAATTCAAACTTTTATCGCCCGTCCACCGTAATCTTTGGTTTAATCACTAGTAAATTAAAGTAAGTCTATTTATAGCAGCAAGTTAAACACTGTAAAAAAATTGAATGTTATAAAATGAGCATTGAGAATTGATCTAAAGCATGTTTCTCTGAATGGTAAAACAAAGACTTCGAGTCAATTCAAGTGTCTACATAGCGAGCGCGACACTCACGCGGACGTCAACTATTGATATTACAGGATATTAGACAACATGAATAATATTACACATCATGAATGATGTTTTGAACAGACACCGTAACAGAACGCAAGATACCATCACTGCGGTCCCTCAAAAAGAAGTCTTCATCGTTCTCCCTTACTTGGGTTTGCACAGTAAAGTTGTCGCACATCACAAATCTAGTGACTCCAAGTTCAGGCTTTGGTTTTGTTAGCCTCAAAGTGAAATTTTCCGAATTTTCCCCTACAAGGACAGACTTAGCCACTCACTCATGTCTAGGGTGGTATACAAGGCCAGCTGTTGGAATTGCGATGATTTTTATATCGAGAAGACCAAGCGTCGATTTCACGATAGGAAAACTGAACATTTTGAACTGAGCGCTGACGAAAGGGCGTCATTCTTCTGCCATTGCAGATCACAATTCTTCCACGGGCCACAATATTAAATGGGATCACTTTGAGATATTAACAACGGGGAAATCAAATATGCATTGTAGAAAAAAAAAACTTTATTGATGCCAGATTTACTGAAACCTGCTTTAATAAATGAAAATGTTGGCATTCGCGAGCGAATCAAGTCCCAAACATGGGCAGACGGGTAACGTGAAACCGTTAACCGCAAACCGCAGTTTGCCGTTTGCATATATACTAGTAAAATGATCAAACCTCGATCTTAAGGTCTCTATCATGAGCCACTCAAGCGCAGTGGTTCTTGTACCAAAAAATTGTTTTCGTGTTTCACTCTTTACATATCATATTTGAATAGCAAAACGAATTGTTTGTACACATCGATGTCTCTTATTACTCCAAACAAAACACTGCACTACGAAAGTAAATCTATTTACGAATTCTTTTACTAAAACATTAGACCGTAACCACCGATATATGTATGGTCCGCATTAATTTGGAAAAATTAGCATAACGTCAAAGCAGCGAATGTTGTAACGCAGAATTTTGGCTGGTCTGTACTACGTTTGTCTTGAAGGTTCATAGGTGTTGCTGGGACGGAAGGTTTTTTCACTCGGAAAAGAATTAAGGCTCAACGGAGCTCGGTGCTTAACTCTCGATAAAACTGAGGAAGCTACTCTCAAATGGCTGAATAACTGAGCTGTCACTGTAGTAATAATTGGTACAGCAGTAGATTAAACAGGACCAGGGGGTGAAGCTACTTCCCACACATAAATCTCTTAAATGAAATTCAAACAACGTTCTCACAACTTGCAAAGCGATCATCAAGGGTCTTGCCAACGGATTTGTGTACTGATAATGCGCATTACGTCATAACCAAAGCTCAACGGTTTTTGAGAAGGAACAAAAACATGGCGGTCCAAGGCGGGACTGTTTCGCCCTGTTATATTTTGATAATTCGCAAATTTATTGATTTTATGTCGCTTTTCAGACTTGGTTGTGGTTTGCTCTTTCTTTTAAATGATATTCCTTCGAAGAGTTTAGAATGTGTAACATATGGCTGATAAGAACCGCTGAAGAGTTGAGCTATCGAGTAGGGCTTCTGCAAACCTAAGGAAATTAAGGCCGCTTAAATGTACAGAGCTTTCAGCGATAGCTGCCATTTGTATATTAGGATCGTTTTGACTTTAATAAACTTTGAATGCAAGGTGCTGACTGATCGTAATAAAAGAAGTGAAATGCTATCACTGTTGTTGTGAAGTGTGAATCTGTTTATTCAGGTATATACGCTCATATTTATAAAGCTCTCTTGAATAGGCTTTATATCCGATAAATTCGACACTTCCTCCAGTAATTTAATCAGCATCATAACTTCTCTATCTTTCGATGTACTCGCGCGGCAGAACGGTGTTAACCTATATAACTCGATCGATAGTCCGCGCGTCAAGTTGTTACCGGTTTCTTATAAAACTGTCGCTTGCGTCTTGCAACTTCATTACCAAATGACAAATACGATTTGCGAAAAAAGCAAAGAGGCATGGTATTATTTTTTCAATTATTGCCCCCGCAGGGATTTCGCCCAGAAGGCGAAATCCCGAGGAGGCACTCTAGAAACTCGCACGTATATTAAGGAAAGTACTTACAGTTGAAATATACAGTCACACAGTCAATATAGAAAAAATCTCGATTTGCCTGAACAGGGGCCGCGAGGAATCGATAGGTAATGATGACGTTTCTATTATTTGTTTGCGCCCGCAAGTACGAAATGGTTAGGATGACGTAAAACACAAAAAATCCAGAAGGAACAGCTTACAATAGGTAGATTTTGTGACATTAATTGTGCAGTCATACTTCGATACTCTTTTGCGTTACGTGTTATCAGTGACATTCTGTGGAGCAGTTTGTTATGAAAGTTAAGCGCAGACAGTGTATATTTTAACACTAAGTGAGTCTGCCAGTCACGACTGGTTCACAAATATTTGATTGGAAACCTTCAGCTGAACCTTGCCAAACACTCTTTCTTTCTCTCTCTTTGACCGGAATAAGACTCGGCCCAAAACAAGCAAGACGAGTGAATGATTCAACGGCTAGCTTATCACTAGCAGAAGGATGGACGATTACAGAAATTAGCCGACCATCAAATTCTGTGCTGACTTATTCCCTGCTCACAGATGTCCTTCCACTATAAAGTTTAAAATAAAACTAGAATGCGCGAGCGTCAATTGATCAAACGTCGTTTTAATTTCTAAGGCTTACTTTCCGGCTAATGAAATGAACTAAATGTACAAAGTGAAATAAAAATAGCGAAAAATTCAACTTCTAATTAAATCTTTTCTTATGGTTTAGAATAAACTATTCGTGAAACTGAGAATGTTTTGATCAAAACTGTGTAAATCGAACCAAAACTGTGCATGGAACCTTGCGTTTATTTCCTGTATTTATCTCACCTATTGTATGGAACATGTGTGAACATCTTCATTATGAATCTGTATATTTCAAAGAGCTACACAAGGAGCAAGAATATACAGAGCGGGTGCAGCTGTAGTGTCAACTATTACTAGTTGAATTATTACCTCTGCCGGTTCTCATGTCGCTTCTAAAATAACTATGGGAAAAAAAGACTGCAATTATCCGCTGACTACCACGTAAGGGGACCGTTTTGCAAGTTGTGAGAACATCGTCTCTTGGTCCCAGACCTCGTCTCTTCGTCTCATATGTAGGCCCGGGCCTACAGATTTTTGGTTTGATCACTCTACCGCGTGTAATAAATTATGCGTTGTTGGGGCGAGCTAAAAAGCTTAAGAGCTCAAAGTGTTGGTGAGGTCGGCGCGTACTAGTCATGCGTGCAATTTTCAGGATATGTGGAAAAGAAAGTCAGTCAGCAATTAGTCGTAAAGCTGGCTACGCCCTTGAACAATTTAATGAAATATATTTTCGCTAATAAATACAGGTTCACCTGTACGAAAGGCGTTACTATAAATAGATGCATGTCTTCCGGTTGTAAAAACACTAAGCCATCATCCAGAAACTAATTATTCTTTTAAAGGTCAACATTAACTTCAGAAATGTGTTCAATTGGAAAGACCAACAAGCAATTAGTTGTGTTTGTTAAGTAACACTGTTGGCTTTTCTACGATTATTACTTAAATGAAACAACAACAACAACGATTTATTGTCACGACGAAGGACACGACAAAGGTAACAACAAAGGACAATAAAATGGCATGAGCCTTTTTGCGGAGCTAAAAACATTTTTATATCCTAATTCAGTATGAATTACTAAAAACAACGTCAAAGCGAATATTTGAAAGCGTAGGTATGAAATACGAGGCAAATAAAGAATACCTGGAAAATGTCTCCTTACATTGCAGGGAGTCAATCTTTATGAAAGTTTCAGACATCATATATTACATACATCGTGAAGATT